CGCTCCCGAGCCGGAGCAGGGGCGGGGAGGGGGGGAATGGAGCAGCAGCTTCGCCAACCCGGAGCAGGGGCGGGCGGGAGGGAGGTCCGCCGCTTGGCCAACCCCAGAGCCGGGGCTCGGGGCGGGGAGTGGGGAGCACCGGCGGGGGTGGGGGGAGGACGGCCCCGCACCCCCTCCGCCCGCGCCTCTTCGGAGCGGGACCCGCCGCGTCCGCTCCCCAGCCCGCGTGGTTTGTTTACTTTTGAAGCCCCCCCATGGCGGTGGTTCCCCCCCCCGCCCAGCCCTGCGTCTGCGGGACGCCGGGGAGGGGGGAGGGCAGCCCCCCGGCCCACCGAAAGGGCTTCGCCGGGACCCCGGCCGCCGGCGCACGGGGCGGAGAGGACGGCGCCGGCTGAAAAGTTTCCCTGTCCGGGGGTCGCGCGCACCGCGCGGCTGGGCTGGGCGCACGGGGCCCCGGGCTCGCACGCTCTCGAATTTCACCGCTCCCGGGTCTCCAAGTGTGGGAAGGCAAGCGCCTGGAGGCCGAGCGCCGCTCCGCGCCGCCCCACCCCGCGCGTGGGGCCCGGAGCATCGCCGGCCGCCCAGGGGAAAGAAGGGCTGGGACGAGTCTGAAGCTGGAGCCACGCCGCGGGGAGGGGGCGTCGGGTGGGGGAGCCGCTCCCCCTCGGTGCCCAACTGTGCACACCCCCAGCCTCCCGCTGTGGCCAGTGGCCGCGCCCCCACGCGCGTCCGCGGGGCCTCGCGCGCACTGGCGGCCCGGGGCCCGCATCCCGCGCTGCGCCCAGGACCCGGAGCCTCCAGCCGCCCAGCCCCGCCGCGCTCCCGGGAGCAGGCGGTGAGGACTGGGGGACCCCGAAACCCCGGAGGAAGGCAGGCTCGCGCCCAAAGGCCAGACCGGGGCAAGGCGGGCAGCAGATGCAACCCCAGAGAGGCGCTGGGGCGGTCCCAGGGCCCCGCCGTGAGCCTGCAGCCCAGGCAGGGGGAGGGCAGGGCCCGGCCTCGCCCCGGCCCCCCAGCCTGGCTCCTGGGTGAGCGGGCGGTGGGGGAGAATAGGGAGGTAACGATCTCATCATCACCCCAAGACGCCCTGGGCGCGGGCGCAGCGGCTGCCCGGAGTCTGGTGCTGCATCTGCTCCCGGGTCTCAGTGAGGAAGTCCTTAACAGAGGAATGAAAGTGACCAAGTGTGCGAGTGTGCGTGCGTGTGTCACTGCGCGCACACTCCACCCGCCATCTCGGCCCAGCTGTGCTGTCAGCGCCGCCAGAGACCAGAAAGCCACTCCCAGTCCCGAGCGGACATCTGCGGAAACGGGGAGTCCGCCCACGCGTGTCCTAGCCACGGCGCTCGGCGGCGGC